CTTCAGATTTTCAAATTCAGAAGCTAGATGATCTATGCGAGTTCTCTTGACACTTGTGTCTCCTTCAAAGTGATTAACTAGCGTATCCCATGCCTCTTTTGCTGATTCACACCCTTGAATGATTCCGAACTCATCTAGATCAACAGCTGCAAATATGGCTGAGATTGCTTTGGAATTGAATTTGGATAGACTTTTTTCAACATCAGTCCATTGGTTTTTTGGCTTCAGGACTTGCTTAGTCTTACCATCTTCATCTTGCGACGTCACCGTCGGATGAGTCCACCCTTGTTCAACAGCAGTCCAAGCATCTTCATCTATCCCTCTGATGATATGTCTCATCCTGGCTTTCCAATGACCAAAGTTACCCGCCCGAAGTAGAAGAGGTTTCTGGATAGCAATGAGTTCTTTCGATGTCTCCATGTTAGTCCACAAGATCTCAACCTGATGTAGAAAATGGTTTTTTAGATAGGTGACCCGCTCTGATACCAAGTGTAAGGGATGTAACACAGAGAGATATCGTAGAACACACACAAATGCAAAACTCCTTTTGCTTTCTTATTAGGAATCACTTAGACAATTTAAACAATCTGTCTAATCAGACTTACACGACACAGCCAAGCTGTTCGACACTGACCAATCCCTAATCTACCCAACCTAAACACAACAACAGTTGTGCACACAAGATACAAGTCGCTCACCCAGAACCCTAAATCTCTCCCTTAGTCTCTGATGATCTTACTTGTCCTTTTGATGCTCTGAACGGCTAACCCTACTTGGTTCTCCACACCAGGCCTATATACCGCATCTCTCTTAACCATGCGTATATCTCCTTTCCTTTTGTTGTTGAGATTCTGATCTTCTTTTCTTGATCTGCAAGATCTCCTCTCTTTCCTTGTTGTAGTCGTGCCACGTCATCTTTCTTTCCCGAGCTTGCGTGTCACGAACTTCTTCAAATCATTTCCCGCTCTTCTATGTGTAACACACATCACCTTGATAAGCTGCCACACTTACACCATAGACACAATGAAGAAGTCTCGTTCATCTCGTGCTGATAGATCCCTCTGGCAAAGGAAGAATGGAAAATTTGTCTCGATGTTTTCGTCAAAAGAAACGTGGAACAACATCAGAGTTGCAGTGCCGCGTAAAGCTTGGAGTTACTTGGTTTGGTTTCAGAATGCCACACTGAAGTATGCATTTATAACCTGGCTAGCTTTGCGGAATAGATTGTCCACCGGGGAATGTATGGCGCTTTAGGGTCGAGATATTAGTACGGTGTGTGTTTTTTGCTCGCACCCATGGGAGACCAGAGAACATCTGTTTTTTGACTGCGCCTTCTCAAACCAGATATGGAAGGCTTTGGTTCAGGGACTGTTGTCTTCGAACTACTCTGCATCTTGGGAGTCGATTATTACCCTGCTCACCTCTCAGGTTTTGAATAAAACGGAGCTGTTTATTGCTAGATACGCCTTCCAAGCGACTTTGTCTCTGCTCTGGAAGGAGCGAAAATGCCTGTCGCCATGGAGATATCCCGATCTCAGCTACTTTGATCGCAACTCTGGACAAATCAGTTTGCAACCGGCTGAGCTCTCTGCGCTTATTAGGCGACCAACGATACAATGATGGCCTCTTGATCTGGTTTGGCAGTCGACGCTGACCACAGCTTATATACATAAATCCTGCAATAGATTTCATACTCTGTTTTAAGCTGTAAACATATTTCTTTTCGTTCCATTTCTTTAGGATTGCAATTGTAAAGAAAACAGTTTTTTTGAAATAAATTTAACATTTTTTCAAAAAAAAAAAAAAAAATCTTTGCGGAGACAGATTCAAGAAAACTCAGTAAAAATTGGTGACATCAGCTGGTCTCTCTCCACACACACAAAACGTAGTTTGTGAACAGAAAAGAATAATGGTTACGTTTTGGTATAAAAACTTAGCCAAAATTCTTATGACATTTCAACGGGCTAAAGACAAAATTGTTAACCTATTTTTTTTTTCTTTTGAAAAAAGATGGTAACCTATTTTTAGCAGTACTTTTTTGTTTCTAAATCTAACGTAAGAAAAGCGATACTTTCATCAACATGCATGTTATCAACGGTGTGATGATTTGAAGTTTTTTATTTAAGAAAAACAGTCGTCAAAGTTTAAAAATAAAATCATCATTTCTTAAGGTTTCTTTTCAAAGTAAAGCGGGACACCACCCACCTCTTCTTTTGTAAACGTAATCGCTAAATAATTAATATATCAGCCATCTCTAGATAATTAAATGATTATTATATCGTTTTCTTTGTTTCTTTTTTTGAAGTCTCCATATTCATAATAACTAAAGGGATCGTAAGTCGAACTTCAAATTATCTTTGGATCCTGGAACAGAACCGGATTTTGTAATTGTCAATTAAATTATCGTTCAGCCAAAACTAAAACCGTTTGTAAAACAAACCCAAATGTTGCTCTCGACCCATAGATTGTATCATCATAATTCATAAACCACTTGATCACCATCACTAGTAAACATGGAAATATTTTAAAGACAGATTTCAAAGTTGTAAATTAGACGGTAATGTGTGATAAACAAAATGCATACACTCCATGAATGAACCACATAAGACCTTTTTATCCAAAGTACTTTTGCGACAACAAGAATCATTCATACATCAAAATGTGAGTGAAACAGACAAAACACAAAAAGCTAAGATAAGGAAAAAAGAGAAAAGTTTAAGGGACGAAGACTTATGGTAGAGGACAGCTCACTCTCTCATTGACATTGACTTCGTACCCAACATTTAATTTTGTTATCATTAAGGCTAAATAGCTAATAGCTACTCCTCGCATACAGAATTCTATCATATCAACATCTAGTTCACCCCCGAAGACTTCACGACTTTTGCTGTTTTTGCAAAAACATTGACTTATCTGATGCAAACATCAAATAGACCCTTAAAAAAAATCAATATATATATATAAACTAGTTTAGTAAAATTCTATTATCTTCCTCTTATTTTTTCCCGACGTAAGAATCTATCATATATTTATAACATGAAAGATGGAAAAAGGTTGAAGAATTTTTTTTCTCGGGATCCTTGAATCATGGTAGAGTCATTTCCAATTCTCAAATTTCTAAGAATCCTTGAATTCTTTTAGTTCGTTTTCATTATTCACATCATTAAAATTAATATATGACATGCATGCAAAATTGAGTAGGAAAAAGCATAAAATGTATAAAAGAGGGATTTTAGCACCCAAAAAAAGGGTATAAAAGTGGGATACTCTCAATTCAATATGATAAAACTACGTAGTATACTTCGGATTAGCCTGCTAAAAAAAAGAATTTACAAGGTTTTTACTATATTAATCGATAGTATCCTAACTAATTGCATCCCTTAACCAGATCAGAGCATTGAACTGAGAATCTTAGAAATGATTGAACCACGGCCAAAAAACAGGATATAATTCATAACCTTTACCTCACCTTTGCATATATGGACGCAAATATTAATGGCCGTGTATGTAGGTTTTTTTTTTGGGTGTGTGTATTATTGGTACGTAGAAGTCTATTTCATTATCTATTCCATTTTAATTCTATGGGACTCTTCTTGTTGGTGGAGGATGTAGATTTGTCCCATCAAAGCTTCACTTTTCGACCATATAAGCGCGTGACCTTTTACCAGTACTCATTGTATTAATTTTGTATGTATACACTTTTGTGTATTATCAATGTTTTGTTTTTTAGCCCTTATTGATCCAACGGTCGAGAACCGCATTCAACCGTGAAGGATAGAGGTAGTCAAATTGTGGTTTTGACTCGACTATAAACCGTGAAAACCAGCCTAAATTTCATGAAGTTGGTCGGCTTTCAATCCACTTTTAGAAACATAGTTAGTTATTTTATCATACAAACTACTTATGCAAAAAAGAATAAATAATAATAATTTTGCTGATTTTAGTCTTTTGTGGAAACTCAAAATTTAAATGTTAAAAATGCAGAAATGGTTATTTTCCCTCCATTTTATCATTTTTGATATTATATATAAGCCCCATGTAAAAACATTATGGATCCGCTCCTGTATTTATAAATATATATAGCCAGAAAATTGTATAAATATATTTTGTTCGTAAAAGTTAAAACTACGTGTATCTATATGTGTATATATAGAGATGACCAAGCATGTTCTGGTGTTCATACGTTAAATAATAACTATTGTAGACAATCATGCATTTTAGCAAATACAACACAAAGCTATTGTTCATTTAATTTAATCGTTCTACTTATGTTCAATAGATTTGAGTTAGAAATTCAGGTGAGAAATTTTTAATATTATATATTGTTCTTCAGTTGTCTGTATCAATTTTATAGTCAATTTTTTGTCATCTTTTTAGAAACAAAAAAACGTGATAAAGAAAGAAAGAAAAAGCACCGACACCGTTGGTGAAAAGGAAGCTCGTAGAAAGTAACAAAACAAAAAAATTGATCGACTATAATAGTAAGATCCTTGTGAATTTTACCACTGTGTTGATGTAAAATAACATTTCAAAAGCACCAATATGCGACCTTTTTTTTGAGAAAAGGCTACCAAAATGCGACTTTTACGCTACTTTTATGATGAATTCTTATGAAATAAACAAAAAGAAATAGAAAATTTAATGATGCAGTCGTTAGAGATGCTACCAACCAAATGATTTATAGAGCATTACACTCAAAAAACAGTCGTACATGTACACTACTATGATTAATACACATCACTATATATACTTAATAGTTAGAGCCATCGACAAATTTTGTTTGTTAGTAGTCTATACTACAATTTAATTGACATCCTAATCAATTCAGTTACCATCACTAATCAATTCAATTAACATCACTAATATATATTACAGCTATCAGACATAACATATATTTCAATATCGTCACACACATATATATATATAGTTTATAATATAAAGAAAGTCATTTTATGCTATAATAGCTCCATCTATATTAATATTTATAGAGCCTTCCACATCATCTTTGTCCCCTTAAACAAACTCTTCACAAAAACAAAAATAGCACAATGGATTACAATAGGCTCGGACCATCAGGTTCGGTAACACACCCGAACCAGAAAGACCCTGCCACGTCACTCCCGGAGATACAGAAGAAAACTAAGACTAAGCTGATTCTCTTCACTTTAGCACTACTAATTGTCGCAGTGGTCTGCTTCGGTATCTTTGCCGGCATCCGAGCCGGAGGTTCGGATAAACACGAACCGAAACTAACCCGTAAACCGACCCGGGAAATTTCCCGAACCTGTAGCAAAGCCCAATACCCGAACCTCTGCATCGACACGCTCCTAGACTTTCCGGGATCTTTAACCGCCGACGAGCAAGAGCTAATCCACATCTCCTTCAACGCGACGCTTCAGAGTTTCAGCAAAGCGCTTTACTCGTCGTCGACGATCTCCTACACTCATATGCCGCCACGTGTACGGTCAGCTTACGATTCCTGCCTCGAGCTGCTCGATGACTCAGTAGACGCGCTCTCACGCGCTCTCTCCTCCGTCTCCTCCAGTAACGATGAGTCTCGTTCCGACGTGATGACGTGGCTTAGCTCCGCGATGACCAACCACGACACGTGTACGGACGGATTCGAAGAGATTGAAGACGGAGGAGGAGGAGGAGTGAAGGATCAAATCATCGGAGCGGTGAAGGACTTGTCGGAGATGGTGAGCAATTGCTTGGCGATATTCTCCGGCAACGTCAAGGATTTGACCGGAGTTCCGGTGGTGAACAATAGGAGGTTGCTTGGGGAAAAAGAAACAACAGAGGAGTTTCCGATTTGGTTGAAGAGAAGAGACAGAGAGCTTCTCGGTACTCCGGCGACGGCGATTCAAGCGGATATCACGGTGTCTAAAGACGGTACCGGAACATTCAAAACAATCGCTGAGGCGATCAAGAAAGCGCCGGAGCATAGTAGCCGTCGGTTCGTCATCTACGTCAAATCAGGAAGGTACGAAGAAGAGAATCTTAAGGTTGGGAGGAAGAAAACAAACTTAATGTTCATCGGAGACGGCAAGGGTAAAACGGTCATAACCGGTGGAAAAAGCATCACCGATGATTTAACTACTTTTCACACCGCCACTTTCGGTAAGAACAAACTAGATTTTGAATTATTTTTTTTTTCGTATTTTGTTTTCTTATATATATAATTGATTGGTGTAGCTGCGACGGGAGCTGGATTTATAGTGAGAGACATGACGTTTGAGAACTACGCCGGACCGGCTAAGCACCAGGCGGTGGCGCTCCGAGTCGGCGGAGACCACGCGGTGGTTTACCGTTGCAATATCATCGGTTACCAAGACGCGCTCTACGTACATTCAAACCGACAGTTTTTCCGCGAGTGCGATATTTACGGAACGGTAGATTTCATTTTCGGTAATGCAGCTGTGATTTTACAAAGCTGTAACATCTACGCGCGTAAACCAATGGCTCAGCAGAAAATCACTATCACGGCTCAAAACCGGAAAGACCCGAACCAAAACACCGGGATTTCGATCCACGCCTGTAAGCTACTGGCCACGGCGGATCTCGAAGCCTCGAGAGGTAGTTTTCCGACGTATCTTGGTCGTCCGTGGAAGTTATACTCTAGAGTTGTGTACATGATGTCTGATATGGGCGACCATATTGACCCTAGAGGATGGTTGGAGTGGAACGGTCCGTTTGCTTTGGACACGTTGTATTACGGTGAGTATATGAACCGAGGGGCCGGTTCAGGTACTGGTCAACGAGTCAAGTGGCCCGGTTATCGTGTTATTACCTCGACGGTCGAGGCTAGCAAGTTTACGGTGGCTCAGTTCATTGCCGGTTCAGCGTGGTTACCGTCTACCGGCGTGGCTTTCTTCTCCGGTTTGTCACAATAGGCTATCTCAGCCTTGTATGTAACTTTAGATGAATGATTTTTATATACAAAACTTAAGATTTATGTAAAACATAGTCCACAAGCCATTTTTAAGTGTACTTATCATATATGACAGAACATCTTCTTGAATGAAATAAAAATTGTTTTTTCCTGATTCTTCAAAAGCCTAGAACTCTCGAGTTTGACAAAAAGAAAAGTATTATTAGTAATAACAAATCAAAGGAGATAAAAGTTACATCATCATTTATAAACGTGCATATTGTGCATTCGTGTTCTTTTTAAACTTTTGATCCAACTTTTGTTTCTTTTCCTTCATTTATGTACAAAGAACGATAAAACTTACGCATACAGAGACATACTAATCACCAGATAGATGTGCTGGATGATGATTACATTACATACTGGCAACAACGGACGGAATCTCCGCCTCCACCTCAATTTCTCCTTCTGATCCCTCCTTGGTCGTCTGCAAGAAGTTAGCAAAAGCAATTCAGATTTTCCGGTTATCAACCCAACCATACTAAAAACAAGGGATTGCTCTTCTTTAATCACTGTGGTAAGCACTTACCTGAGGAGAATCCTTGGAGTTGGTTTCAGAGAGATACAGACTCAATGCTCCTTTCCCACGGAGAATCTTAGCTCCAGAGCCTCTACGCCCTTCTCCTTCAACTGCTTCTTCATCTACCACAACCGCCTCTATCATATCACTGCCTGTACTCTCGTCCGGAATCTGAAAACAAAACCAAAAACATTTTGCTTAAAACGTACAAGAGTCTGAATTAGCAGTGCATCGGCTTGAAAGTAGGTAAGAGGTGTATTTACCTCGTACATAGAATCCATCAGGATGCTTTCTAAAAGAGCTCTTAAGCCACGTGCACCCGTGTTTTTCGTTATTGCTTTTTTAGCTATTAGCCGCAGGGCACTTTCCGTGAAATGCAGCTTTACCTGAAGAAAGAGGAGATGGAAATTTGTCTCAAGATTTTGGAGCGCAGAGAGAGAGAGAGCCAGAGAGAAAGAGAGAGGAAAAGTAGTTACACTATTCATCTGGTACATCTTTTTGTATTGCTTTCCAAGTGCGTTTTTGGGCTCTGTCAGCACCTGCGATACAATGATGTTATTACCTATGCTATGAAGATGATCGAGTAATGCGAGAATCACATCAAATGCCACATCAATGATATTACCTGCATAAGTTGGTTCTCGGTCAAAGCAGACAAGCTGACGAGAACTGGAAATCTTCCAACGAATTCAGGTATTAAACCATAAGCAATCAGGTCACTGCTTTCCACCTGCCAACCATCCAGTATCTCTCATTATAAACAAACCAAGAACAACCAGAAGAATCAATCATTTGGTGGGTGAAGAGATAGAAAAAAAACCTACAGTTTCCATTAGGTTTGATGCAACAGCGGCGTTTGTAACACCACCTGCTCTCATGTTAGCACGTACGGGAGCACCAAACCCTATTGAAGAATCATGGCGCCTGGAACAAAATCATTCAGTTGGTTTCTTAAGGTACTTAGATGAGATGAAAAAAAAAAAAAAGGGATTTTTGGGATTTGTTCACTAGTCATACCTCTCTGAGATCGTCTTCTCGATGTCTACAAAAGCACCACCACATATGAAGAGTATATCCTTTGTGTCTATCTGCAGACAGTCGAAAATGACGTGAGTAAGAAACATATGTAACAGAAGAGGCACTTAAAAGCCAACTCTTAAAAGAAAGCCAAATCCATTTAAGTTTTAAATCCTAACACTCCAATAATCATATATAGAACATTAAATTAAAATGTGAAAGCTATTAGATTTGCAAAATCATTAACATTTCCTATTACATTAGTCTCGACCCATATTTGCGATAAAAGAAATACAGGTGCATAGCTTTTGTGTCTTTTGCAAGGTGAAAGTCACAACATACACTCATACAGAGTAGAGTAGCGCACAACAAACCTGGATATTGTCGCCTCTAGGGTGCTTCCTAGCGCCCTTCTCAGGTACATTAACAATCTATATTCAAAAAGAGGAGTTAGCCACAAAATATGTATTGAGATCTTATTTAGCAGAGCTCTCAAAGCAAAATAGTACATGAGTTAAACTGTAAACTTACTGTTCCTTCAAGCATTTTTAGCAATGCTTGTTGAACACCCTCTCCTGATACATCTCTGCTGATGTTAAGGCTTTCTGCCTAGCAACCAAAAAGGTCCAAAGAACAAAAATTATCTAAGAAGCACAGAAAATAATCTTCAAGTTTACCAAACTACCACGAGGAATTTTTTTTTAGTTCTAACCTTCTTTGTTATCTTGTCAACTTCATCGATGTAAACAATCCCCTGCTGTGCAGCTGCAACATTATAATCTGCAACCTGTAGAGAAAGATATCAAATCCACACATTACAAATAATATAAAGAAATTGATTATAGTAGTTCACAAATAAATATGTTTTGGAACTTACTGTGAGAAGTTTGTATAATATAGACTCGACGTCCTCTCCCACATAACCAGCCTGACAAATTATTTCATTTCCGAACAAAAAAAAATGATTGTCACAGATTGGTCAGCACGAAAAGGACATGCACCAAAACGACTGAAAGAAAGGCGAGAATTGCCTGAGTCAGTGTCGTTGCATCTGCAATAACGAAAGGAACATTCACAAACCGTGCCAAGGTTTTCGCAAGTAGTGTCTTCCCTGTGCTTGAAAAAAAAACACCAAAACAGATGAGGTGAGACTACTGAAACTAAAGTTTCATAACCAAGATAGATTAAAAAGATAACTGTATCATAGCAGCTTATCAGGCTTGCGCTTTTTGAAGATTGGGGTCAGAATATTACCTGACCCAGTTGGTCCCATAAGAAGAATGTTACTCTTCTCGAGTTCTACCATATCATCATCTGCTGGTTTTGCTGTAGTGCTATCAGTTTCTCCCGTGGACCTAGCTTCCCAACAAGTTTCAGAATCATAACCAACCAATCTCTTACGAAATACGTGAAATTTGCAAAGAAACAAACAGATGCAAAATGATCATGCACACAACACAACGATATCCCTAGGTAAAGGAATATAATACTGATAGATTTAACAAATCTCAACATCTGTTTTTTTCTTCTTAAAATGCTTAGGTAAATAAACCGATGGATTGTTTCCACAAAAACGAAGAAAATATCAAAACTTTGCATTCAGGCAAGCATAAAAAAAAAATTAAACTAACCGTTTCTGTAATGATTCGTAATATATCCTCTTGTAGTGATTATACACAGCCACTGAAAGCACCTGCATCCAAGTTAGACGCATACAAAAATCAGAGCTGAGAATTTGCATCACACAAATGTTTAGACTATCCAAAAACAAACCCAAACAAAACCGAATCATTAGAACTGAGCTACTCTTTGTCATGAACTATCTAGCAAGTAAGAAGAGGAATAGTCATTTGAGATATCAAAGTATCATCATTTCACCTTTTTGGCTCTTTCCTGACCAATCACGAACTTGTTCAAACCTTTACAAATCTCCTTCGGTGTCGGGAAATCAGACCCAAGATTGGATCCACCCCAACAATCATCTTTCGAATTCGACCCTGTTCCGTTACCAGCACCGGCACCGCTTCCACCGCCGCCACGACCGAGATTAACGCTCGACCCATTGACCCTAACGGAAACTCCATCTCCCGGAGGCTGCCACAGATCCGGTGGGTCTCCTTGCGAGCTCAAAACAGCAGACTTTACACCGTTGGTAGCATAACCCTTGCTTGAACTCCGTCTCTCTCCTTGATTATCCATGAAGCTCGTTCCCGTAGGCCTGAGCGAGGCGATTCTATCTGGGAACTTGTTTGATGGGTCATCGATTTTGTTACGGTGATTGCACTGAGGACTCGCGGTTCGAGCGGTGTGGACGCGGTTGAAAACGAAGTACCTGAACTGAGAGAGTGTGAGAGAAGCGGTTTCTCTCGAGGTACTCGACCTTAAAGCCGCGGCCATGGTGGTTTTCACAGGGAAATCACAGAGGGGAAATTAGATTGAAAAGCTTCTCAGAAATCGATTAACATAATCCGATCGAAATCAAATGGAAATTTTTTTAGATGGGTATGCAAGAAATGAAGAAAAAACTGAGACTTTTGTAGAGGGTTTTCAATTGATGACGCAATTCGAGAGAGGGTAAGATGGTGATGATGATGATGAAGTTGTGAAGCACACGGAAAGGATGAGTCTCTGAAGAAAACGCAAATTCGAAAGGGAAGGAAAAGGGGAAAAACAAAAACGAATTTGTGTAAAAGAGAGTAATATCTTAATTTCTTCATCATCTTCTGGTAAGAGTTTGACGAGCGCATTGACGGCCCATTATTTTCGAAACGTCGTCGTCTCTGCTCGATTTAGCTGATTTTCAACCGCCGGATGTAAAAATTGATCATGAGATTTACTAGTAACAAAAATGATCGTGCAAGAATTGATCATGAGATTTGGATCATTTGTTCACTTTTATTAAACTAAATAGAACAATAAATATGAGAAAATATAAGCCTTCTAAAATATTATGAACTCAAATAATCAAACATATGTTAAATGGGTTTGTATCCAAATCAATACGCAAAATCGTTTAATGTGTGAATATTAGTTTGACTTCACAAACCAGCCAAATTCACTTGGATTAAGTATATCTTTTGATTGTATTAAACCAGACCAAAACTAGCATAATTTTAATATTTGAACATAAACTAATTTATATATAGGTGATCTCAAATTGTAATTTAGAATATCTAAGTCTTTCATTTACTTTGAACAAATTTGGTAGTAGGCTTGGAATAATATTTTACTTTTTAAAAAAAAATTGTAGCTCTTCTAGACAAATAGAACCACCTAGTTTCTCTTTATTACTTTTGATTTTATTAAAATAACATATAACCAACTGTGGTTTACTTCCATATAATCATGCTCCAACCCAGTTGGTCATTGTCTTCCCCATGTTGCTTCGATATTTTTGATCGGATCACCATATATATAAGTAAGACAAAAAGTTAGACTACCCGGCTCAGATATATACATATCATTGTAGTTAAGAGAAGGAGAGTCCACAAAATCTAGTTGCATAGTATCATTCAAAAATATAGTCATTCCACCACTAAGACACTCCAAGGGCAAGACAAAACTGAGGGAATCTAAGATCTTTACCTAGATTATTTACATATTGGTAATCATTCTTAGTTTTCGTGAGGAAAAAGACATCAGATTTAGAAGATATCTTGATGTCTTTAAGATATAGAACTGTCAATGGGTTCCTCTTAAGCCACTTGACAATTCCAATGCAAAAGTCTCATGGTTCTTCCGGTGGTTTTGAGGCAACCACCAAGCATGTTCCATCAAATTCTTCAGAAGTTCGTTGACAGTGAGAAAGACTGCACTCATCTAGAGGAGTATCATCCGCCTTTCTCTTAGAAAGCGTGACTTGTTTAGAGCTCCCTCCTTCTTCCATAATGACCCCTAGCTGACCAAACTGAGCAGTAGAGGGTTGAACTCAAAGGTAATGGAGGAGAGGAGGGATAGTATCATGCATATATTCTGCGATGTGAACATCCTCCATTGGTGCATCGTATTCGATGAGTTTCTGATGTTGTTCTCCATATTCTTCCTCAAAATCTTGATTATTTAACAATTGGTTATGCTCTTCTTCATGATGTTGCACTTCCAGCATCGGAACATGCTGTAGAGCGATAAGACAATGAGCCGCCTCATGCTAACTTCTGCATCTTTCGCTAATTCTCGATCCATTGATAATTTGAGCCAAAAAGAAACTAAAATTTGACGAAAATTGATTAAATCAGACTTAATTTCGTTTCCTACAAAGATGAAACTTCACTTTATGATATGATCGTGACCAGCTCAGAGGAGGAGGAACCAGAGGTAGCTGGCAGGATCACTCGTTCCAGAGCTAGAGAGATGGCTAAGGAGGCTCACGCACTCATTGCCACAGAGGACAGCGATCACCAGGAGGCTGGAGCTCACATCTTCAACATCTCTATCTTGAAGAATGAAGAACCCAGTAACAATGACTAGGTAACTTAGGTGATGATTCTGTACTCTTTTCCTTGGTGAGGATTTTGGAAGGCAAGGAGGTTCTTCTCCAAGGTTTTTAACGAGGCAGAAATCATTGCTACGTCGAGTTACTTAGAAGTTGTTACTAATGGGTAATAATGTGCAAAGTCACAATGACTTGTGCACTTAGTATTTTGGCGCACCACTTAGGAATTTAGGGACGCCTCACTGTTTTATTTTTTTAAATCAAACTTTTTGTTGTTTTTATTTCAGACTTCATGTAGTTTGTTTCTTAGGGCTGCGATTTCTCTCTAAGTCTATTTAAGAGAGAAAATCGCCTATGTGTAAGGGAGCTTGGAATTTTTAACGTAAAAAAGAGAGCAAAGTTTGCTTTGATTCCTTGACTCAAAAAGTTCATTGAATTCGATTTTCTTACAAGTGTTTCTTACAAGAAAATCTTCAACCTATCATCTAATCGATTTCCCCATCCTCTATTCTCGCCATCATCCCTTATCCATCGACCATACTCTCGCGAATCCATCACTACCAGATCGTTTCGGATCCGATATCTTCACGCCACCATCTCGCATCATCAATCCGAGCCACTCACTACCATCGCCACTCATTGTCTCGCTCACTAGACCACCATCGCAAATCCATCGAGTCATCACCGCGCCATCACCACCACCTTATCGCCTCATCGTTTCATTTTTGGTCAATATATCGCCACCTGTAGCCTTGTTCTTCAGAGTAGATTCCCTTGGATCGTATCACGTGGTATCAGAGCCAACTCTGAACCCAAAGGCTGAGCAATCTCTAACCCTAATCGCGATTTTTGATTTGAATTCATGTTTTGATTGTTAGGGCTTAGTGAGTTTGATTTGTGTGCATCGATCTGTTCCCTTTTGAATAGTGTATCGGTTATTGCTTCGTATCGTTAGCGAGTTCGTTTGCTATTTTTAAGGATTTAGCTATAGTTAGGTTAGTCCGTTGGCTATCC